GACATACAAGTTTTATGTGTCTACTCTAGCCTAATACTACTAGTTCTAATTAAGATAATTAGAGCTAGTTCTAGTTCCTCTAATCCTCATAATTGTAATCCCCGAGTGGCTCTAATCTTCTCTTCTAATTCTTCTGCGGCGATTAGTTCTGGATGACGAAGCACTGCCGAATCGTGAAGACCATATGCTTGCAAATTGTAGAGAGGTCGTGCTTTCGGTCTTTGGTTCGCGGGATCGTTCATCAGTGGTACGAGGAACTCCAAGTACGTCTACACCAACTCGTCTGCTTCCACTACATACTCGGAGTTGTTAATGATCATGATTCAATCCCCTATTGCACCTTCATATTGTTCCTGGGTGTTTGTAGGCCTATTTTTTGTTTTCTATTACGTTTCCCGACACGTATGTGGCCCATGGTTATTGGCGCCACTAGCAAACTGAGGAAAAAGAACTGCAGTGACTATAAACAAATAAATAAACAAGAGTATAAGGAAATAAATAAGGAAACAACTAACGTCGGGCTATTACAATGACTACACAGGTTACATCCATTGGGCATCAAAGTTCGTCATGAGTGCAAATATAGGGAACAACAAAGCAACATATTACATACACTGGGCGTCTAAGTTGCCCACCAGTGCAAATAAACATGGTAGCAAAACAAGTCCAAAACCGAAACCACTTCAAAAGAGTTCAAGAAATGTTATCCTGGATACCCACCATGCTGGCAAGAAGCTTAGTTGTCTTATGAGCTTTACTTGTTAGGCGCTAAAATCCTCCAATGCTTGATGTTGCATCAGAAAGTATGCATTTGAATTCTGAAGGGAATTCCTTGGTCCTTCGGCTTCTTGTCGCAACACAACTGATTGATGTCTTTCTTCTTATAGTTGAGACTCAAAAAGCCGAACTGATTTAAGCAACGAGTTCGAAGAGCTTGTGTCAGCAGTAGTGGTTAGTAACTCGAACACTACATCAAAACATGACTTTAAGGTTGTGTCACTGTCTTTAAGTTAGTTTTTATCAGCTTTTTTGAAGACCAACAGGTTGTCTCACTATCTTGAACCTTATATGCATTACTTCCTTTATCATTGCATAATTGGGTACTCTTCTTCAATATTCTGTCAGCATTCTAAAATAGGAATAAGCAGACATATAACAATTTTAGCATGTAATATATGAAACTCAATTTGGTAAATTAGTTCACTAGTAAGGTGGACAGGATTATACTAATATGTATTTTATTACAAAGTACCCCCCTTTCCTAAATATAAGTCTTTTTAAATATTTCAATACAAACTACATATGGAGCAAAATGAATGAATCTACGTCCTAAAATATGTCTATATACATTCTTCGTATTGGAATCTCTAAAAGTGCTTATATTTAGGAACAGAGGGAGTAGTACATAATAACAGCATGAAACAAACATAAATCTATGTATTATAGTCATTGTACTGTTTATATCATTCTATTTTATGTTGTCAAATCAAGATAAAGATATAGTTCAAATTATATCTATTTAAGGCAAAGCAGCATAGAAAAAATTTAAGTGTTGAGAACTACACAACAATAACAACAATTGTAATGTGCAAACCGCCGGATAAGGATGCCACGGCCCTCGAGCGCCTTTCGGCCGCTAGAGGGACGATATGACACACACAACAACAGCGGTGCGGCAGGGCAAGGCGGCCACATGTACGAGGTGGTTGTCCGTACAGGGTTTAATTTTTTTTTCTTTTAGTATTTAGTTAAACGGTTGAAATATCAATCTTTTTATGTAAACTATTTCCAAACTTCAATAAAATTCGCCGTGTTTGATGAATTTCGTCTGGTTTGGTTAAAGCCGATTTAAAATGTCTGCAGGTAATGTTGGATAGCCAGTTTTTTGTCTTTGTTCATAGATTGACCCTCTATGTCCGCCGACGAATGCGGTGTCCGATTTGCGGGTCAACGCTGAAGCTGCCCTAATTATGTGAGGATGGTGATAGAGCTTGTCACCGTTGGTCTTGTATGCTTGTGCTATGCGCCTATGCCTGATCCCATCTTTGCCGCGGGCGCGTCGGTCACCCGTAATTAGCTATATTTTTCTCTTGACAAAAAGTAATAAGCCAATCAAAAAGACTAATCGATAGGTTTTACTTGCACGGACCATGCAAAACACGCAATCATGGATGGCCGCAGCAGCACCACGCACGCCGGACTCCATTTCTCCGGTTGCATGAGTGCAGCCGGATCATGATGCCACATATGCTGTTTAGTACTAATATATAGTTGTACATGCATGATCGATGGATCCTTTCCCGTTTCAAATTATAGAATAGTTAAGCCCTGTTTGAAGAACCTTCACTCCATAACTTCATTCTCGGAGCTACTGTTGAAAGTCGCGAAGCGCCTGTTTCCCGGCTCCGCAACTCCCGGGATTTTGCGGAGCTGGTGGAACTCTGAACAGGGTCTTAATCTGAACATTTTTCAGACTGGGAATATCATAGTTCCATCATTTCAGCGATTTTGAGTTATAGATGCTTTATTCAGTGCACTTCTTTTGGGGTTGTCGCATAGATCGGTATTTGAACGCCCTAAGTTTTTTTTTGCGAAACTGAACATCCTAAACAGTTTTTTTGAGGGACGAACACCGTGATGATCCCTACCTTATTGACCGCTAAGTATTCTTAACTTTTAAGATAAAAATATCATTGCTCAAAAAAGTTTTAGAAGTAGGGGCCATATCATTTCATTTGAAGCTAATCTTAATATTTAAGTTCGGTAGACGATGATTTTTAAAATATAAAATGCCACAAAACTGGCTGAACAACGTAACATATTACTTTGTTATTATTATTTCTTGTGTCCTTTTGTACTGCCATGATGTTTGATGAATAGATTAAACGTTCTTCCTGCAAAAAAGGCCTAAAGATACCAACCTAGCTAGCTCCCAAAAGCAAAGTTAGGATATCTAGCCATTGATCCTCTAGTTGTATTTATTGTTCGACATGGCATAAAATTCGGCATCACAAATTTGTTGGGCCCACTGAAATGCCAAGTCTTTCTAGAAAAAAACATGTTTTTTTAGCTTATGACACATCAATATTCACATATTGTTAATGAAATTTGACCTAATTTAAACTTGGTTTGAAATTTGTTTGAATTTGAATCAAAATTTGAGGTTATAAATATTTTGGTGTCCACCGAAATTACCTAGTAAAAGACTAAAATTGCAGACATTTTCTGTTTAGATTTTGAACACTAGTAGGATTTGTGGCGACCTCGGAGCTAATCAACGACAAGGTCTCTTCTCCCTAGGTTCTAGAAAACATCCTCTGAGATAGAACCAGGACGTGGAGTTTCTACACCCAAGAGCAAATGCTCCCGGTGTGAACAATAAAATAAAATAAAAGTTCTGAATTTTTCTGGCATACTTTCACAAATGTTTGTTGTGCATGCAAAATTTTATCGCAAAATCACATTGATGAAAGGCGTAGTAAAAAACAAAATTGATGCTCTGAAAATGTTACTTACAAAAGCATTTTGGAGCTCTGATTTTTTTTTGCGTGGCTTTCACCAATATGATTTCGTGATGAAATTTTGCATGCACAACAAACATTTATGAAAGTATGACACAAACAAATTCAGATTTTTTTAATTTTTATTCTTTTTCTATTTATTGTTCACATCAGGAGCATTTGCTCCTGGGTGTAGAAAGGTACTTTCGTGATTAATCTCTTCTTCTCCGTAAAGAGAAAGCGTTATATTTGCAATAACCATATTCTGGTCCTAGTTTGTTTACAGACATATTCTGGTGCTAGTGGCTTGTATTATAATCACTGCACAGTTAGTTTAGCCTTGGTGTGACACCACTTCACAAAGCCAAAGTGCACTTCTCTCTCTCTCTCTCTCTCTCTCTCTTTCTCAGCATTATCTGCAAAAGAAAAGTTGATTCGTGTTTTTGGTGGCAGCTTAGCTCATGCCGCTGCCAAAAATAATTTACTCTTACAAAGGAGATCGTAGAAGGTTTCCAGAGCACGGAGCACCCATCGTTTGTACATCGAATCCGCATCAGGGGGTACGTCAGTGGCCTGGTCATCCACTAGAATAAGCCCACTAGGTTCCAAGAGGACGACGACGGGCCCCAGGGGAGTTCATGGGGTGCGGCCCATTCACAGCTGTTCCTTCCTTCCTTCCTTAAAGTTTAAGAACGAACGCGGGTAGTCGGAGCAAATTTGCATCGTGCCCAGCGTCCTTCTAGAAGCCAGCCTACGTTCTTGCTTTGTTCAGACCTGGGGCTCACTTTTGTTGGCAATCTGTTCTACTTACAACATGTGGTTCTTGGTTTGCTAGTTCTTTTTCTTTCAGATAATTAGTTATTTTTTTGGGTGCGTTTGAACTACATGTCACATCTCCGTAGCCATTTTGGAGGGCACAGTGCATAAAATCCAGTACAAACCGAACACGATTCCATCAGAATTATTTTTTACTAATTTTATTTGCGTTGAAGTTTGTAAAGTGATGAAAAAATATTGAGAAAAGAAAGTGAAAAGTGGGCAACAGGCCAATGGCATTTCTTGCACCGGAGGAAAAAGAGGCATCACATTCTCCCATCGAAATGGAAACCACCGAGGCAAAAGCGAGCGCATCCCTCGTCACCCTCCTCCGTCGTCTTCCTCGCGGTGGTCCCCGCGCCAACGCACGGGACACGCGTCACCATCTTATCTCTCGCAGCCAGCCCCGTCTCATCGGACGGACGGGCGGGCCAAGCAAGCATCCATCCGCGAACCGCCGAAGCCCCCGGGCCACACGGTGGGCAGCCCTCGGATCGCGATCGAACGACCGCGGGCCGTTCAAACCTCCATGCGCGTCAGGTCAAACGCGCGACCGCGTGTCCGTGCTGCCAGCGTCACGCGTGTCGTGGCTGCTCGCCGCGCGCCGCACGTGACCGCGCGTCGAGCCGCGCGGCCGCCCGATCCTCATCCGACGGAGCCTATGCCTCCGTCCTTAACGGCGTGATGGGCGCGGGGGCCACGGCATCACGACGCGGGAGCGCTGACCGGGAAGACGTGGCCGTGACGGCGTCAGGCACGGTCGCCGTCTGCTCGGAGCCGCGGGTAGGGTATATAATGCCGTGGCACTTTGGGATTTATTTATTTCTCCTTCTCTCTTGTGTGAGGAAGCAGATATTAATTATCGCGCACACGAAAAGAGGGAGGGGGCGCAAAGAGAGAAGGGACTAGGACACGAGAACCAGAAGAGAGAGAGAGAGAGAGAGAGAGAAGAAAAGCGAGAGAGAGGTAGGGAGATTGCTGGAGCTGGATCGGGGCGCCGGGCCGGCCGTGCAGATCGGAGGAGGTGAGAGCTCCCCTCCTCGTACTTCGTCGGGTTCCGTGCCTGTTGTGCTACTGATTTTTGCAGGAAGTCGCTGAATTGCTGTGCTTTTTTGGGGTGTTTTTTTGCTTGGTTATTTTGGGGTTGATTCCATAGTTTGGGAGGGTGAAGGTGGATCCTGGGCGGGTTCAGGCGGGTGCCTGGCTCTCGTTCGGCGATGAGATGGGCTCTTAGGCGGGTTTTGGTTGGGGCGGGTGGTGTCTAGCTGACGAATCAGTTGGGGATTTGTGTTGGTTCGAGCCAATTCGACCTGCTGAAGGTCTCACCTGAGAGCATTTCGCTTTTGGCTTCCACGGATGACCTCCATTTTGGGGACGAAGGAGTTGATCCTTCTCAGCTTCCGCTCTGGAGGGTACTGTTGCATTTTGTTGCTAATTTTATACTGGCTGGCTCCTAGGTCTAGCTGGGCATGGCCTACTTATGGTTCGTCTGATGGACACTCATCCGTGCCAGATGTACTTGTGTTACTTGGCTGCACTTGTGCCCTGAATTTATTATCCCAGAGTGAGTTAATTTCGTGGCCAAATTAGTGATCCTCATGTTAGAAATGGAACCATCGCTGCCTCTGGTTCTTCGAAACATGGAGGCAGACATACAGTAGATTGATGCGGTAGCTCCAAGTAGTCTAAACTAATTTTCCCTGGGAGGAACCACAGGATCCATCTGCTTCCTTGATTGGGACATATACAACTCGGGAAAAAAAATCTTATGTTTCGCTTGATGAGTCAACTGGACTTGCCTTTCCTGAAGACAATTCGTGGAAAAAGAACTCCCTTACTAGGCAGAGTGCCCCCATAGATGAACAAATCGAGGTTGGTTTTTTGAGCGCGTCACTAACTTAATACTATGATTTTAGCATGTTCAACCAACGTCCAGGATCCCAGTAGTTTCAGACCTTCGCTCACTGCAGACGGTACACAAATTGGCTTCTTGTGTGAGTGATGAAAGGTGCTGCTGGTTCCACACGGTCTGAGTGGTCAAACTTCTTGTTGCGAGTGGGGGAGGTTCCTTCTTCGGAATTCATAGCAAGAGCTACGGACAAATAGTCAAACCAACAAGGCTGGTCAATCGTCTTCAACCAACTAGAGAATCTTAGGGTCCGCTGAACATTGGTCTTAGTCGTGCATTCACTGAAGGATCTGTGACCAAACAGTGCGACAGTTCTCTTATAAACAAACTAGAGAATGCTCGAGGTTGCATGTCTTAGTTGTGAAGGGTGGTCAATGGGCGCGCTGAGGGGAGGTGCAAGATATGTCAGTTTGTCCTGTTGTTTGTTTTCCAAGCCTCTTAGTTGTGCTGGATCTTCTGGACAGGTTGATGCTTGAGCACGTTCCTGTCCAGATTGATACTTGAGCGCGTTCCTTTCTTCATTATTTGTGCCACTGTAGTCCTCTAGTTCCACTGGCAGACTCGTCATGATTGATGATCCTTTCATGCTTGCCTTGCTAGAATTTGACACCTGTGGTTGTCCTTTAAGTTTGAGGAGAAGGATAGATCCTTTAAGATTTGTAGGTAGATGATGGGGACATTTGACAGACAATGGGTTGGATTTATGCGGAATTTTGGAGAGCTACTTGTTAAATCTGTATAATATGCATAGAGGAAAGGCAAGCAGACAAATTAAAGAAAACTTGCTCTTGTGTATTTAGTGTTTGGTCCGTGAGACTCTCAGATGTCATTGATCACTGTTAGTAGGGATTTTATTCTTGCATTAATGGGCTCTCGCTTATTTTAGTATCATTTTTGCTACTTACAACTTAAAACTTTCATCTTATGTTGGACTAGAAAATTTATTCTGTTTCAGAAAATACCACTCAAATTACTATCTTGATACAAAATTTACTATAACCGTTATTTTTTCCAAGGGAAAGGTAGAGTACTGTCACTGTTAATACTCTATAATCATAATGAATTGGAATGTCACGTTAAGTTTATTGTTCTAATCAACCAATATGAATGCACACATGTGAGCTGGGAGTGTTTTATTAGTTTAATTGGTTCATGTTATCCTACATATCACCAGATACTGTCTATGCTCTTGAATCTGTCCAGCATGGACGTTCTTGTGATATAGAATTGCATTTGCTCTGTAGTGTTGGGTTTTGCAATGTTTATGCTTTGTCGCCTGTTGCCTATTCCTCCTTTCCTCTAAATTATATGCTTAGAATTGCACTGATAAAGCAAAATGTTCTGGTCTGATTATTTGTTCTGTCACCTACCATGGAATAAACAGTTCATAAATTTCCTCTCTTTTGCTATGTACAGGTCATGAACAACTAATCGACACTCATTTATTATGGATTTGCACCAGCTATTCAAGTACAGATTGACTGGTGCTAACGTCTTCTGCGAAATTCCCACAGAGAACAATTTAGCGAACTCTTCCTGGCAAACTAGTCCACTGAAGTTAGAGTTCAGCAACTCTCCATACACCCCTCTTTCTACCCAGCTTGAGTGTGACAATTTGTCTGCTCTTAGCAACACTCCAGATAACCAGAGCTCTACTGAAACCATTTCAGCCCAACCAATCTCCCCGCTTGAAGCAGACAGCTCATACATAAAGGCAGGTAGCATCCGTGAGAACATCCAAGTGAGACCTGATCCATTGTATGCAACATCAAGACATAATATGCAACAGACTTTGCGTGACATTGAGAACGTTCTGATGGCACCTGATGCGGATGATGCAACAACGAGCACAAAGCATGAGTTTGAGGACACCAAGCCTGCTCAGCTCATGCGGCAGCGGTCGAGGACATGGAGCCATGAGTCACGACAGCCGTTGCCTGGAGTTGTTCGTCCACACTTTGCATCTGGTGGATACCCCACGGCAAGCTATGAGTTCCGCCCAGAGAAACGACAAAGGGAGTTAAGGGACGATCGGCAGCACATTGTGAAGGGTCTATTAACCAAGTGTGCTGAGGCATTAAGTGAGGACAGGACAGAGGAGTTCCTAAAGCTTGTTCAGGAGGCTCGTGGGACTGTTTCAATTAACGGGGAACCGATCCAGCGTTTAGGTGCTTACCTACTCGAGGGTTTGGTTGCTAGGCATGGGAACTCTGGTACAAACATCTACCGTGCTCTGAAATGCCGGGAGCCGGAGAGCAAGGAGCTTCTCTCCTACATGAAGATTTTATACAATATCTGTCCTTACTTCAAGTTTGGATACATGGCAGCTAATGGGGCGATTGCAGAGGCATTGAGAAGCGAGGACAACATCCACATAATTGATTTTCAGATTGCTCAAGGGACTCAATGGATCACACTGATACAAGCCCTAGCTGCAAGGCCTGGGGGTCCACCTCATGTGCGGATCACTGGAATAGATGACCCGGTATCAGAGTATGCCCGAGGTGAAGGCCTGGAGATAGTTGGAAACATGCTAACAAGCATGTCTAAAGAGTTCAATATACCTTTGGAATTTACACCTCTATCTGTCTATGCTACCCAAGTCACAGAGGAAATGCTTAAGATCAGACCAGGTGAAGCAGTTGCTGTCAACTTCACCCTCCAGCTGCACCATACCCCGGACGAGAGCGTGGACGTCAACAACCCACGGGACGGGTTGCTCCGCATGGTGAAAGGGCTGTCCCCGAAGGTGACCACGTTGGTGGAACAGGAGTCGCACACCAACACGACGCCTTTCTTGATGAGGTTTTTGGAGACCATGGATTACTACTCTGCCATGTTCGAGTCCATCGACGCCAACTTGCCTCGAGACAGCAAGGAGAGGATAAGTGTGGAGCAACACTGCCTGGCCAAGGACATCGTGAACATCATCGCCTGCGAGGGGAAGGACAGAGTGGAGAGGCATGAGCTGCTTGGCAAGTGGAAATCAAGGCTGAGCATGGCGGGCTTCAAGCCTTACCCGCTGAGCTCATATGTGAACTCGGTGATAAAGAAGCTCCTCGCGTGCTACTCGGACAAGTACACGCTGGAGGAGAAGGATGGGGCAATGCTCTTGGGCTGGAACACCAGGAAGTTGATATCTGCCTCTGCGTGGCACTGACAGTTGCTCAGCGGAAGAAGAAAAGAAAACAGAGGTTATAGAGCCAAGTCCCTGGTCTCCTTTCTTTTTGATGTACCACCTGTACATGATGCTGTACACCCTCATTTGTTGCCTAAATGTAGACCAGGAATCAAGCATTGACAATTAGATTGTAGAAGTTGTATGATAATTACAGTTTTCCTGCGCTTCCCGTGTAGTATTCGTGGTGATTATGTTGGATGTAATTTTCCAGGCATGCTCTTGTTGGTCGGCAAAGTTTTCCACTCACGGAGCATGCTCTGAGGATGCAGAGTATACCCTGGTCATGGGGCCTGTGAAGATAAGTTTTGCAAGGGTTTTCTCTTATGTCAGTACCGTTACATGAGCAAGTGGTGTAGGATCAGGGCGTGCCAAGGCAAAATGCGATTGGGCTTTGGGTCGAGATTTGGATGCATGTACCCGAAGGTGTTGCACGTTCGTTCTACACTGCGAGGATGATGGGCAATTCTGTTGCCGCTGTGCTGCGTCGTGCAGGCGACAGGATAGGCAAGCGAACAAAATGGAGTTTAGCTGATTGCCTCCCGAGTCCCATGACATACAACCCTCCAACGTCCAAACTCCCAAGTCTGGCGACATTTTCAGGTCGGCATATTGCAGCGAATGAGCTATGGTTACGTTCTCTGTGGTGAACCACGTATTTTTTTGAATTTATTTTAGGCTTCCGGCGATACTCATTCAGTGTGAGGAGAAGTTTTCGTGGCGTTTATGGTGGCTTCGCCAATCTCAAGATAATATGCCGGTTCAATCTCTTAAACATGCTCATAGGGTAAAAAGTGTGTAATTGCTTTTATAGGGATAAATATATGTGAGTATGTATGTGTTTGCATCTATATTGTGTTTAAAAATAGACAAAATGTTGCACAATTTACTAGTGATGAATTGACTATGTGCATCACTTGATACAAAGGTCAGAGATAATCCTTTTCTTTTTTAAAAGAGATGTTGCACAATTTGACTCGTACATAATCCATCCGTCGTTACGAAGGTGATGAATTTTGTACGCCGAGTTGCCAAACTACTAGATTTTCACAAAGTCTCGAACAAGCCAGTGACCCACGGCCCCAGACCAACAGTTTGATCAAGGCTATCGAGATTATTCTAACTGTCTTTTCCATGGGTGTCTTTTTTTCTCCTTAAGAAAAGTCTCCTTCCTTCTATCGGCGCCGCCGCCGATTCGCTCCACCTCCGATAGCCTTTGAATCGTGGAGGCGCAGAGGATTTCGGACACGCGCCGGCGGGAGCGACCCCGTTTTCATTTTTATTAGGTTCAATATCTTAATTAGGGATGTGTGGCGATGTCCTACACAAGAGAATTTTTCTAATCATTTGTGTGATTCGTAGATGATATTGCTTTTTAAGGCGTCCCAAGGAATTCTTCTAAATTTTTTTGTTAACTTTTGCGGTTTGGCCATGGAAATAGATATGTGTTGCTTTATTATTTAGATCAGTTATGTATTAAGCTTTAAATGAGAATCTTAGAAAAAAATTGTTATGCTCGCAGCAATCTAGAGTTCTAGATTTGAGATTATCTTAGGTTGCCGATGGCTATACTAGAAATGTACGGATTAGGGATGCACATAAGGGCATCTTCAACGGCAACCCGCAAAAAACCTATCGCATCCGTCCGCGGAAAAGGGGATCAGTCCACGGACACGGATGCGGGCGCCATCCAACGCTAATTGCATATATTTCAAACGTCATTTTAACTAATCGGACGACATTCATTCAAACCGGTCGATATTCATTAAAGTTCAGATAGAAAATAGCACAAATCATCCACACATAGCATGCAAATTAAGCGTAGTACAACAAGGTCTCAAATTCGACTAGATCCCGAATGTCCAACAAGTTTTCCAGGAACGGATCATGTCCTCCCACACATACTTTCCCTTCAACTTCATCTAGCAGTGTGTGCACGTAAATGGCCGTCCTGCTGACCTATGGTACAATACGGCGGCGCGTGCGGTCTACATATAATGTGTAGACCAACATTGAGGCCTCCTTTGGTTCATAGGATAGGAATACTGTAGGAATAAGAACTTCATAGGAAATGAGATGGTATGCATCTCAATTTCTATAAAGAAAAAGATGTCATTTGATGCATAGTATAGGAATTTTTCCATTGAGTCTAGACTAATGTTTTTTCCTTTGAAATGTGAAGGATTAGACCCTATCCTACATAGGAATAGAAATCAATTCCTACAAACCAAAGGACTCCATAGGAAATTTTCCTTTGAAAATCATATTATATGAAATTCTTACAAGATTCCTACAAACCAAAGGAGGGCTAAGTGAATGAATCAATCAACAAGTTTAGCAAAAGGAAGTAAAACTTACCATCTCCTTCATGCCCGTGTGCAACCAAGTTGTAGTACTTGATGGCGCTGACCTGGATAGCGTGCCAGTGATACGACAACGACCTCATGTTGTGTGGTCGCATGATGTACACGTCGTAGGGCGCAATGTGTTTTCCTGCGTGAAACTTTTCATGCACTTGCTCCCAGAAGGGCGGCCCTCTGGTCCTGCGTATGAAATCCACGGGTACGGCCAGCTACGCATCGCACAAAAACTCATCCTCCATGGTTGAGTAGCTCGCCATTATTCGTACTCTAAAAAATGACATAGCATTTGAAAATAAGCTCAATGACATTTGACCGAACACCTGTCGGGCGTGGTGTCTGCCATGGAGGTCGTCGATACGGGGCGGAGTGTATCTGGGTACAAACGGCTCCAGGGCTGAAAACTCCGTCGGAACGGCCAGCAGGCGCGGGTGCTGGTTGTGGACGTCCGGCAATGCCTTTATGGCCGTCAGAGACGAACAGCAGCGGCGGCGGATGTGGAGGGTGCGGATGCAAAGCAATGGGGAGAAGGGGTGGAGTGGAAGAAAATGAGACCGGGATGAGAGATTAGGTGGGCCGGGGGTGTTGGAGTCCTACGTTTCAAGTGTCCGGACTCCCGCAAACCTCCCACACTTTTGTCTCCAACTTCCAGAAAAAATCGTATCCGGACCGCCCCACGTACCGATACAGCTCGACGTTGGATGACTTTCGCGGTTCGGACAGCGCGGTCCGGATGGTTGCAGAAGGTTTACAGATCCGCCTTAGAGATGCCCTAAAGATTGTGTCAACACTTATGTTTTACAAACTAGAAAATACCCCGCACATTGCTGCAGGAACTTGCTGTGAGTTTTCTTAATGGCCCGTAGCAAAAAAAAATGAACTATGTCATGGTACATTAGCATGCCATACTGCTTAAAAAGACAATATATTACGAATGAGAAAGGAGGCAAGGAGAAGAAAGCATAAAAACAGCGGGTACATTGCGAAATCTTCTGAACTTATCCATGCAATTAACTTTTCTATTGAGCGTACAAACAAATTCCCTATTCTATTTCAAATTCATCATTCCATTCAGGGCCCCTTCTATTTACTATGAATGACTATAGAGTTGAGAAGACCTTCCATTTGTCAACTCACCGAAACAACAACGGATATGAAATGACTAAAAAATATGAACTTAGTTATGGAGCAAAGTCGTGCGCAAACACGATGAGGAAACCATAAATATGTCTAGTTGAGAAACCACAGTTGAAGAAAAATAACATCTTTTTACGAAAATCTTTAACAAAGTAGTTGACACATTGTTATTCAATTGCAAAAATTGTGATGGGAGAAATATGTGTACTTTTACATATGGGAGATGGCAATAGGGACCAGTTAGAAGTTATTAGTTGCTTGAGTGTAATTTTTATTAAAGGTATATGCCACTGCAATATCTTATGTCAGATATAGAAATTAGACTTGATGCAATAGTTTTTGAATGCAGATTGTGCGATCTTGAAAAAAGAATGTGTTGTTCGCATACTTCGCCCAAATAACTTCAAAGTGAATAATCTTATTCATGTGAACTAAAACCTAATATCAATGAAAAATATCATAATAACCTGGGATTACCTGCCCGGTGACTTGAGAATCAATAATGTAAAAAAATGGTGGACAGCCACTTAGAATAAACAATCTTACATCGGATAAATTGATGGCCCCAGACGGTTGAATGCCAATATTTCTTTTTCTGTTTTTCTGATTCCAAGAGAGATAAAGATGAACATGTCCTAAAGAAATGCAAAGTCTGATACCATGTGAGCCATGTGTCGATCCCCTATTGTACTGCCGTATCTTCTGGATAACTTGGAATATCTCATCATGGTTCAAACCTGTAATATTGGATAAACTGTAATCAAAATAAACATGGTTTAAACCATGCACTTTTTCCTGAATGTGCCAAAACAAAACTTTCATCAGAATCCAAAAAGACAACGTCTAAATGCAGAGCAAAAATGTCAATTAGATATACCCGGAACATCAATATTTGGAAAGTAACATTGGCTGACAAAAATAATCGGCAGCTTAATTAACTAATATATATATTGTGGCGGTAAAGGTGCTAGACAATAAGAGTATTGGGATGAGGGGGATCCGGACGAAACCTGATACAATAGGGTACAATAAACAAATTTTGATGTCCCTCAAACGGATGGATGCCAGAGGAACAGTGAGCAGCCGATTACACCTCCTTCCTCGTCATCACTCATCAGTAATCCTTCACAAGGGCTATATAGCTTGATTGAAGTGAGAGAAAATTTCCTCGTGCATTGAGTTATCGGCAGATTTGGTAGAGGGAGACCTCTGTCAGTCACCTTACACCCACGGGAGTGTCCACCCCATGAATAGCAGCTGGAATGTAGGTGGAAGAACAGGCGCACAATTAGCAGTCGGGGTCGCCGAAGCGGCATGGCTTGCAGGGGTTCGCGGGGTGGCTCGGCGAGGTCACATGTGGCGGCGCCGATGGGGACACGGGGTAGCGGGGTCATGGCGACGCCGCCGGGATCATGGCGGCTCGCCGGGGTCACAGCAAATTGCGTTCCTGGCTCATCCGGGGTCGCTAGGCAGCATCGCTGCAAC